GATGCAGCCCAGAGTACGGTTGGCCTTCTGGGCTGCCAGCGCACATTGCCGGCTCATGTCCAGCTTTTCATCCACCAGCACCCCCAAGTCCCTCTCGGCAGGGCTGCTCTCAATCCTTTCTTCCCCCAACCTGTACTGATAGCCCTTTGCTGTGCGATTGCTGCCTTTGGTCTCGTTTCTACTATGTCCAGAGCCTCGGCAAGCCCGGAGAGCTGCTGCCTCTCTCTTCTGCTACTCAGGGTTGTTGCTTTGCTTGCACACAGTAGCAGCAACTACTACAGACATGCGGAGGACGCAGGGTTTGATTGTGTTTATCTCCTGACCTGATTTTGCTGCTGCTGAGATGGTGACCAGGGTGTACAGGATGAGAGCAGCCACCAGTCCCCCCCAGTTATGGCGGGGAACTGCAAACCTCGCTTTCCAGGGCTTCATTACAGCTGCCTGGCCTGGCCTCTTCTTTTTCCCTGCTCCTTGAGTTGGGCATTAAAATGAAACATTTAAGTGGAAAATGTAATTTGACTAAATGTTACATTGAGTGTCTTGACATAAAAAACCTTGTGCTTTCTTCAGCATAAAATAAATGGGGAATCTTTTGTAATGGAAGGTAAATAGAGCAGGTGGGGAGAGAGTTCAAGTTTTTGTTCAGTCCCCTGAGCTCTTCGGCCCTGGGTGGCTCCTTATTCCACGTATGAAAATCACATTAGAAATGTTAATTGGAAAATGGAAGGAAAATCAGCCCTGAACTATATAGCCTTTTAGGCTGATTTAATGATCATTCGATTTATGGGACTCAGCCAGCTTTCATCCCACTGTGCCGAAAGGCAAGTTATGGAAACCGAGGCGCTGGTTCCTTCTGTGTGGGAAATGGGTGCTGGCAAACAAACTCAGCACATCTCTGGTGACTGAAACCTGATTTTCAGCGCCACAGCTGCATGTTTAGCCTTTGTGTACAGTTACCATAACTGCAAGCTCAAACTGAGTAATAGCCACAAAAGACCCTTTTTGTGCTCGCTGTAATCTGATTTCTCCACATTCCTAACCCTAAAGAAGGCATTTGTAAATTGAATGCGAGATTGATACAAGTTTTCCGTGTTGTGCCAGCAAATCAGACTGAAAATGTCTTCTGTTATTTTTTAGCTGAATGAACAGCCCAACAGAAGCGCTTCTTGACTCGCCCTGTCTCTCTCATTTCATGAGTTTATATACCCAAGCCTTGTTTATTCTAATGGAGAGGGGGGAAAAAAAGAAATGTCCTAGCCTGCTTCTGTTGCTGAGAAGTTCAGATTTGCCCGAGCTGCCTCCCTCTCGCACCACGTCACAGCTGTCCCTACACCAACTGCACGGCGGTGGTCACAAGCCGCGCACAGATGCACGGGGAGGCTCTGGGGTGAACAGCCTGTGCGAGAGCAGGAGGAGCCGCCGCGCTCCGGGCTGCCCCGCGTAGATCCACCGGGACAACTGGCAAAGTTCCTGGCGTGCTCAGCTGTCCGCTGAGCAGCTGGGTAAAGCCACTGTAAGTCTTGGAGCGAGCTGATTGAAGGCAATAAACCAAAACAAAATCCCTCAAAGGCTGCGTGCTTTCACCCTACGGAAAAGCCTTGTCACTTCTTTATTTGTTGCCTGATACACAGGGCACCATCTTACTTGGCAGTGGCTGATAGTATTGTAAAATAATTGTTCTCAAAGTGGTAGTAAGAGATGATTTTCAGTGAGTTTCCTTTTTGCTATATACTGAGTGAGATCTGTCCATCGGAGAACAGACCTGGGCTAAGGATGGCTTTCTTGATACCACTTACCTTTTACCCTTTCTACTCAGGAAAGTCCCTTCTTTTCTGCCTCTGCCTGCAGGCACGATAGCTCACATCGCAGACCGCCAAGGGGGGTTGTGTTCACTCACCATTCCCTTCTTCAGATGAGAGCTAAGAGCTTTCACAAAGATGAAGCAAGCAGTTGCAAAGCTGGAGCCTTGTTCCTCTACCATGTTTCCCCTAAATTCAGTCACAACAACACACACTCACGTGATGGGGAACACTACCTCCAATTTTAAATAATTTATTGCAACACAGCAGTGTTTCTGTGGGTCAGTAGTTCACAATATTCCGTTTATAAACTAGCTGCGGAGGGCCACGCTAGACCCGTGCTGAATGAACAGAGCTCCATGGTTTGGGGGTTGATTTTAAAGTTCTTTCCTAACATTCATATTTTGGTATCTTACCTAGTTGTCCCACAGATCTGGTCATAGCTCTTAAAATGGTGGAGAATTAGTCTGTAATTGACTTAAATAATGTAATTCCCATATCAGACTTCTCTGTTTATGGAGCTGGATGGGACATCAAGGTAACTATGTTTACTCCTTCCAAACGAGTCCGTTTTTCATAACTACAGAAGAGTGCATCTCAGCCTGTATCTTTTTGCTGCTCTTACTCCCACTAAATGTGGCTTGAGCTTGACCTAATGGCTCCGCGAGACTGGAGAAGTAGAAATTCCCCTGCTTGCTTTTTTTAGTGGTTCTGCTTTTGGGTAGTCTAAAGATTTAAGTGATAACCGAAGCTGGATTCTCCAAATCTTTTCCCTCCCTTGGGGAATTAGTAAGGCAGATCGTCTTTGATTTGTATGTGCCGATTCTTATCTGAAATAAAGCAGAAATGCTGTCAAAGGAGAATTACGGGGAAAAAAATACTGTGCCTGCTTGTAAGGTCAGTTCCTGTCTGTCAGTCAGTGAAAAGCTGAAAGGTTTTTAATCAATTAAGAGTGATTACTCTAACGGTGGCCTATTTCAAAGATATCCTGAGCTTACTGCTTATTGCAGCTTTCTCATTATTGTTTCTTTTCACCCTAAAAATAGCTGCTTACTCTCCCGCGAGCATGCCGGGCTTCAGTCCCCAACATCAGGAGTGAAGTGTATGATGTTCCATCCACGCAGCGCCAGGAGTCCTTACTCACGCAGGTGAGTCCCACCATGGTCCCCCCCTGCAGGACATCCTGATTTTGAAGATAAATTCTAGTGTTTCCCTGTTTGCTTTCTGTAAAATTTAGCAGAAACCCATATATTTTTAGGGAAGTTCAAAACCTAAAGCAGTTTTCTTTTGAATTTGTTAGACATTTAGAGAAATGTGTCTTAAATTTGGGATGTTTCTAATAAACACTCAGTGTTGCCATGACTGAGTTCCAGGGCACAGATGAATTCTCAGTGTCAGAGCATCAGCCTCTCTGCCTTGGTTTATCCATCAGGAAATGTGCTTTGTCGTTTGATTGGGAAGATTTCAAGATGTTTACAGGAGTCACTAGTGCATGTACAAAGAGAAATTAAATGTTGCCCATGCCACCTGCCTCCCGGGCAACAAAATACGAGGGATTAAATCACATAATCATGATGCACTCAGGGTAAGGGCAACACATCGATTGCATTCACTGTGGAAGCGGCCTGTTACATGATCTTGAAACCATACTTCCCTGGGGAAAGTGAATGTCACCACGCTTCCTCTAGGTCTTACTGTAGCCTGTGCAGGTCACCAGGCTGGGACAGATGCCAGGCCCCAGCCCCATCCCATCACCTGCCATGCAAAGGTGTGTGTGGGACTGGAGCACATCCACGGAGCCTCCCCATGCACCTCGTGCTCCCTGGCAGCACTTGGCAGTGTGGGGTTGAGCCCACTCTAATTCATTCATTATCAAGTTATCCACAAACTTCTTTGTGTTACCCACTTTGTGTAAGTAGGGTGATCCCTGCTCAGACCCAAGGCCAGGCGTGTAGGTGGCGGCTGCCGTCCACCACTCCGTGCCCACCACCCGCCTGCGCAGCACTGCGGGAAGGCACTCCAGCAGCTCTCCCACAGGTTGAGTTTGACCCATGCTGTCCAAACAAGGAGCCATGCAGTACATGACCCGAAAGCCTCTGATTCCACCAAAGTCTTCAGTGGGCTCTAAAAAGGATTGGAGTCAACCTGGTTTTCTTTCCTTTGACCAGAGTGGTGCCACTCCGCCTGCCACACGAAAGGGCTCTGTGCTGGTCAGATCCACCGAGTGTTTCCAGAAGGAGCAGAAGCAGCTTTACAACATCCTGTCCAGCCCAAAAAAGGCAGGAGCTGTTATCCAGAAAGACTCACCAGCGGGCAATGTAAGTAAGACTTGTTGGACGCAGGAGAACCATCTCTCATTGCTATGAGGTTGGGCGCAGGTGCTGAACCTCCCCCAAGGTGATCGCGGGGACAGGACCAGCATGTCTTTGGTGCAGTACTTTGTCCTTCATATTAAAAGAGATGAATACTGCCTGGCTCCTGGATAGTCAGGGTACCTACCAGGACTAGGGCTACCACTGTGTTTCCATTTGCTTTTTAGACTGCAGGCAACAAGGTCTCTTGCCTTAACTTCTTTTTATGACTGTGTGAAAAGCAAATTCAATACCCTACATTCTTGAATGTCTGCAGTATTTCAGCAGATAGAAGCTAACTGTCCTGGTTCCATGCAGCACTCCCCTGCCGCCTTTTTTGGGAGTGGAGCACACCTGGCTTGGGGGGGGGGTCAGGCTTCCCATCTCTTCCCTGCTGTTTGACAAGTACCATCCTTGAAGAAAGGGCTGATCTGAAATTTCACAACAAAGACAATGCCTCGATGGAAACTCACTGTTACTTGAGTGCTAAATATTTTGGGTTTCCTCAACAGTTTTAGGATCCAAGAGAATTTTGACAGGCTCCTTAGCATGTATGCCTAGGGCTGAGGTGTGGGATCTCAGGGCAGACCATTCCAGCGCAGCAAATCTGAGGCATCCTGGGTTTGTGGATTTAAAGAGAAGTGCCGTAGGTTCACGGCTGCCCCATGACTGCAGAAGCTGGTCTTGCACAGAGTCTGTTCAGTAGTGATAATCAGACTGGTGCTACCCAGACCTGGGGCACTGGTACATGAGCAATTGCTCACTGAAGCTGGCATTGCTGATGTCTTCACAGCTGTGAGTGATCATACCCACCAGCTGCAACAGCCTGCGAGCAGATTTCCTTCTGGAGACACTGTTTATCGTTGCTTCCAAAAGAAAATTTTCTTAGAATTCTTTGTTCATGGGAAATTTGGAAAATTCTGGCTTTGGTCAGAAATGCCCTTGTTTGGGATCCCCTTCTCATGTGCATTTTCTGCAGACAGGGAAGCCTGACCTGGCCAGTACCTCCTAAAATTTTTATTACATAGTGGTACCTTCAGTTGTTTCTTGTTGCTGCACACTCCTACAGCTCCTGGAGCTCCCTCATGCTTGTGCTTTGTGCTTCTAAGGCATCCAGGTACCATCTGTCCCAAAGTGACTATTAGTATTAGTCTGGATTTTCCTACACAAGAAGTGGTCTTGCATTTGCATTTTCCAGCTCATAGACTTCAGCTGCATGCACACGTATTTTTAAGGCATTGGGCAAGGTCTGTATCTGTCCTAGCAAACCTGTCTCAAGTGAAAATTTAAACTCACTGCAGTTACTTGAGAATGGTGGTTGTGTCTGCTGGTGATTTATTTTATTTTTTTTTGTCAGGGTTATGCATGTGAATGTGGGGGGGGATACTGGAAAATCAAGTGTTTTCTTACGCAGAGGCTAATAAAACCTTACCTCTCTCATTCTGTAAAACTGTTTGACGTTACCTGCTAATAGACTGGCATTTCACTTTTCTTGTAGCCAGTTCAGAAAACTATGAAAGGTTCTCCCCGCAAAGGAGTCAGGGCAGACCTCGCAGATCTCACCGGCTGGGGACACTGCTGTATGGTTTAATCACCTGTGCTCAAAATGTTTTAACCTTCATCTGTGCCTCTGGTGCATTTCAGAAAGAAAATAAAAATTATGGGCTAGCCTTTTTGCAGTGCAGTTTCACTGACGTTACTGGAGTTGCATACATTTGCGTGCTCCGAGAATTCAGTTTTGTTTCTTATTTCTTGTATAAAACACTGCTTATAAATCCTGTGTGCTCTGTTGCAGTTGTATGATGTCCCTCCCAAAAGAGAAACTGACATTTCAGAAAATGAATCTCAGAAAAAGTTCTGGGGCCATTACAATACCTTGCCAAATCCTCGGAAGTCAGAATGGATTTATGATATTCCAGTATCACCTGAAAAAACAGGATTAAAACAAAACCCTCCTGGCCATTCCTTGGAGAACCAGGTGCTGTATGATATACCACCAGCCAGGCACAAGGCACTAACAACAAATACCGAAGCCAAAGTTGTAAATCCACAATTATATAATATTCCACCAACACAGCGGAAATTAACGTTTCCAGATGTCCATTTCTATGATGTTCCATCCTCACGGGATGTGCTCCTTTTGCCACAAAACAGTGGCTGTGATGTAGCCCCAAGCCTCCTGGCTCCAAAGGCTGAGACTCAGATCTCTGAAGAGAATGTTTATGATATTCCGAAAGGTCTGCCCACCACTTTGCAATCCAAGAAAGAGATGGAAAAAACCAGCGATAGTTCTGGAGACCAAGCATACCATGCTCCTCCACAGTTCTCAAAAGATGCCAAATTAGAACAGGACAGCTTATCTGTTTCTAGTGGGGACAGCAGAAGCAGCACGCTCTCTACATCCTCAAACTCTCCTTCTGAGTTGTCTTCTATGTCATCATCATCATCATCAGAAGAGCCTGCCAAAGAAATTAAACTGGACCTTGACGTAGCCATAGAGACACTGACTAGATTGCAGCACAGCGTATCCAGCTCAGTTGCGAGTTTAATGATCTTTGTGAGTAGTAAATGGCGATTACAAGAGCACCTAGAGAAAAGCATTGAAGAAATCCATAGAGCAGTCGATCACATAAAAGTGTCACTGGGAGAATTCTTGGCCTTTGCTCAAGTTGTAAAGGTAAATGCCTCTTACCTCACTGATAACAATCTTCAGACCAGAATTAACAAGCAACTAGAAATTCTTACGAACTCATTCAAAATCTTAACAGAAACAAGAGAAGCTCTAAACAACTGCAACTGGTCACTAGAGGCTTTGGTCCTCAGGAAACCTCAAAACAACCCGGATGATCTTGATCGCTTTGTTATGGTAGCCCGCACGATTCCAGATGACATCAAGAGGCTTGTATCCATCGTCATTGCCAATGGAAAGCTCCTCTTCAGAAAGGATGAGACGGAACAAGAAACGAAGCAATCAAAAGTGAACCCAGAATACAAAATGGCAAAACAAATCACAGTGCCCAGAAGAGTAGAAATAGATTCACTTCAAAGAAAAAGTCCTGATAAACCCAAACAAAGTCAGGTCTCTTCTGAGAAACCAAAAGAAAATGCCGCTGAGGACTGTGATTATGTTCAGTTACAGGTTAGTACAACTGGGTTGTATTGTCTGTATTCCTGATCGTTTGCAGATATTAAGCTATTAGCACTATTTTATCTTTGCACGAGTACCACATTCGGTTTGCACAGCTTGCTATTTTCCAGACTTTGTATGAATTCAGGATTTTGTTAAGAGTGCTAGATGGCACATGTAGAATGACCGATAATTTTAAGTAGTAAAGAAAACTGGCATTTGAGAATTTACCCAGCCCATCCCAACACAAGCTTTTTAGCTTGCCTGTTTAAATTAATTTGAGAGAGTTTTTAGCTGGGGGTTAGCAATTTGTTTCTTCTGACTAGTAGTTTTCTTCTTGCCAGTACATTTTGTTTGTTTGATGTGATTATACAAGAGATGTTACCTTTCTAACTTGAGGTGTATTGGAAAACATGTTTTCATAGAACATTTTAATTTAACAAATTACACTCTTACTGTGAATTATCAAATTTATTTAGAATAATTTTGGGTATTTGTTAGAAAAATTCTCCTTAGAATTACTGAAATATCTATTAAGACTATAAGTCTCTTGGTTTGACAAAGAAATGCTGGCTTAGAATTGAGGAACTGTTATGTTTTGATGATGTTGGTTTCAGTCTTAGATCTTGCAGGATAAGACACTAAATTTTTAGTAGGAAAAAACCTACAGTTGCTTCTAATAAATGTACCATTGATTGTCCATAACATAAAGGCTGCATAGCAAGTAGTTGTCTCCCCCTAAAATAGGAGAAAACCACATTCATATTTAAATATTTTATGTAAACCATTTCAACTTGGCTTTTATTTTGATTTGTAACAGGCACAGAAAATAATTTCAGGTAGAGAAGTAGCAAAGAAGAGTACAGATTCAAAACCAAAGGTATTTATGATTTTGAAAACTTACTTATGAGGACTGCTAGTCCCCGATTTCTGTGCTTGCTAAAATTCAAAATAATTTGCATTTGAACACACATGTCTATATACAGATATCTATTTTTCTCATAGTTCATTTTCCCAGAAGTAGTTCCTAGAATTACTGCTGAAAACCCGTGCATTTTCCTCAAATGTAACAAACCACTCTGGTTTGAAATCATACTATTTATTTGCTTGCCTTTGTGTATCATTTGGGATAAAGCTGTGAGAGTATTTTAAAATACCTTGTGCACCGGTATAAGGGTTGACTGTCTTGTTACCGTACAGTTTTAATCATTCATAACCCTCATGAAGTCAGCACCACTGAGGATCAATGTTTTGTACTGTCTGAAACCTTGAAGCCCAGCCTGTATGAAGGATTGATGTTTAGCTGCAGCACTTTGTGGGCTATCCATTATTAAAATCGTGTTCGGCGAAATTTGTTTAGGGAAAGGGCTATCAGCAGAAAATACCACTTTGAAGTCCAGTACTTTATGGAAAGAGAAACAATTGTAAAAGACTCCTGGGCTGGGGTGATTTGAAGATGATTAAATAACAAAACTCCCCGTAAGTGAAGAAATATGTGAAGAATATAGGGTAGAGCAAATAATCAGTGTGCCACCAAGCTGAGTCTGTTGGTTTTTTTAACCTTTTTCCAGGTTTTGCCATCTGCAAAAAAGACTGTAATTCAAAGCAAGCCAGACTCTACAAAGAAAATCACTCTCCCAGAACACTGTAAGCTGTGTTTTACTGCACTTCACAAGGCGATTTGTGTGTTTACTAATAGTCTGAGCAACAACCAGCCACCCGAAGTCTTCATATCCCACAGCAAATTGATCATTATGGTGGGACAAAAGCTAGTGGATTCCCTCTGCCATGAAACTCAAGAGAGAGATGCTCGGAACGACATTCTCCACAGCAGCAGCCGGTTTTGCAGCCTCTTGAAGAATCTGGCTCTCGCCACCAAAAATGCCGCAATACAATATCCAAATGCAGATGCCATGAGGGAACTTCAGGATCAAACACAGGAGCTGTCTAAGTACACACAGCAGTTTAGAGCAATGATGGAATGAAAGACACTTTGCTGGTTTTACAAATTCTCCATCCTTGCTGCTCCTTTGGCACGTGGCAGCCAAGGGGGGGCAAAAGCAGCTCAGCGGCACCAACTTTCAGTCACCTCTAGGAAGTCCTGCCGGGCAGTTCCCTGGGTGCCAGGGCACTTGTAGCAGGTGAAGATCCACACAATGGCAGATGCAGAAGTGGATTTGTAGAATTAAATCTGTGCTTTCTCCTCCATTGTTCAGATCCCACCTGGAAATGTCATCTTGGCAGCTGGGCAGGAATGTTTGCTGTGTATTAGAGCAAAATTATTTATTATCTGGCTGATTTCTTTTTTTTTTTATAGGTCAGGTAGATTTTTTTTTTTTCTATTTGGGTATGTAAAGTCTCTCTTTAAAATGTTGCTTCACAATGTTCTGTAAGTTATGGTATCCCATTATCAGCTGTTTCTTGAGGACTTACTCAAAATCTGTAATTACAATTTCTTTTTTTTTTTTTTTTTACAGCTGCAAAGCTAACTTTTATTCTTCATGTACAAATGCAATGAATGTATTACAGGACAAAATCTGGCAGGTACCACACATGGCTTAGATGTTAATGGGAAATGCTCCAGCTGGTGTCTGAGCGCAGAAGGAAAACTGACTTGGAGGAGTCCTGGCTCCCAATAAATCTGTGGGGAGTGCACCTCAGCCGTCCTCCGTTGCAGCTCGAAGCCATTCAGAGCATTGTTCCAACATAAAAAGGAATTTATTTTAGTCACTTTGGACAAGCTGTCCCACAAACTGGAACCATGATGTAATTTCTGCTGGTCACCCAGAGCACCTGCGCTGGGGGGGCTGCCCAGGGCTCCTCAGGCCGGCCCTTGCTACGTTCGTTTGTGTAGCTCATTAACTTAATCCCTAAATTTGCTGGATCTGAAATACAATGAAGGCCCTGTAACCACGCAGGTAGCCTGTTTGTACCCCTGCTTTATTTCTGTTTTTCCTAATTAATTTAAAGTTTTTACCTGAAATTTCGAGGTCTGGCCTTTCGGGGCAACACCGTACCCATGTCTTTGCTCTGAAGATGCACAATGAATTTTGGGAGTAGTTACGGCTCATTCGCACTGCACCGGCCCGCACGCTCCAGGGGCCGGGGGGGAAACCTGCTCCCTCATCGTCCCCACGGTTTTATTTTTACTTGGCAGTCACCGTGTTTTACACCGTTATTTAAACGTCGACAGCTGTTTTCTCGTTGGCTTTGTATGTTTTGTATTAAACTCACTCCTGGCACGACCAAGTGTTTGACCCTGCTGGCGGGAAAGGCGTCCCCTCGGCCCCTGCCAGCCCGGCCCGACT